AAGAGCAGCGTAAAGGTGAAGATGAAATCTTATTGATTTTTATTTCTTTAATAGCCAACATGCTAAAAAAATCACTAAGTTGGAAAGCACCCCACTTTTATAGTATTGGGGCTTGAACTCAGGATCTCATTCTCTACCACTAGAACCATTCCCCCAGTCTTTTTTTCCTTAGTTATTTTTTAGGTAGGGTCTTGAATTTCTGTCTGGCCTGACCTCAGACTGTAATTGTTCTACTTACGCCTCCTACATAGTTGAAATCACAGGCATGTATCACCATACTTGGCTTGTTTGTTGAGATGAGGTCTCACTAATTTTTTGCCCAGACTGGACTTGAACCATGATCCTCTCTATCTCTGCCTCCCACGTGGTTGGGATTATAGGTGTGAACTACCTCACTTGATTGCAATAAAATGTCCTCTTGCTCATTGTTGCAGCCCAATGTCTGGTGAAATATATACATGTACTATACTATAGTATAGTTAATAACTGTATGTCCAGTGAATAAATAGAGATCAAGTTTGTTGCATGATCAAAGAAAAGATGTATGATAATTTCAGCCCTACCATCACAGGGTTGTTGAGGGGTCATAGGAAAACATCCCTGTGCCTGGATCTAAATCTGAGGTGTCCCTGTTGTTATATTTTAAGTAGAACATGCTGTTTCCATTGTCTTTGCTCTTAACTGCATTTACAAACATGCCTGTGGATCTAAAATCACGACTGACGTTTAGATAGCAACTGATTAAAGCCTGTTTAGCTCGGAGCAACTTTGTGGATATTAGACTAAAAATGTACATTTTTCCATGATATCTAATTAATTTTTAAAAACAAAATACTAAAGCCTAGACATATGGATTCTTAGGTTGACTACCATAATGTTTTATTATCTTCAAAATTTTTCACAGACTCTCTATTTTTTGGAGCTGCTAAGAGTTGTTAAATGTTGTCACAAAAAGCCTTCAATTTGATGTGTGGGGCATATTATTGCAGGGATGTGTACTGTCGTATGGCATTATGACACTTGAACTCCAGGGAGAAATTTGGGTGCAGCGTCTAGCCAATATGTTCTAGCCATCTTCCTGAAGCTGCCTAATGCTTGCTGTGTTTTGACCCCAATTCTCCCAAAGCACATTTCTCCTCTCTCATACCATGTTTCAAACTCCCACTGATGCATCATTAAAAGTTGGGGCTGATCCTAGGAGACCATAAAGCCATTTCTCTGTCTTGTACTTTGAATTCTGCCCCAACTTCTAAAAAGTGAATGGGATACCTATTCTTATTTGACTTTCTTTAAGAAAACATATTTAATTTAAAAAAATTATGTAGTTAGAATTTCTTGTTATAAAAAAGTTTCCTGCTAGTGTAGTTTTAGCACATTTTGTTTATTGACCTGAGAGAAAAAGCCCAGAAGGCTTGGCATGATACCCTGAAATTTTTATGTAGGTTGGCTTCATTATAACAAAGCTCTTTGTATTGCACAGATCCAGATACAACCTCAGCCAAATTATGTCTCCAAATGCAACATAAAAGAGAGAAACAGTTGTCCCAAATGTCAAAACAGCAGATAAGAAGGCTTTCCTAGCTCTTGGAAGCTTGTTAGGTCACGTCTTAGAATACATAAATTGTGCTATCGAGGAGCACTGAGAAGTCACCTGTGGGGACCATATTCTCATCAGATACTCTGAGATCACATCTTGCTTTGAGTGGTGCTCTGAATCCCAGGATGCTGCTCCCAGACGCTCCTTCTCCAACTAACTCCTTCTTTCTTCTCCCTCAAAATGTGCTCTTATTGACCAGCACTCTGCTGCTAAGTTGATGCTAAAACATGAGACTAGAGGTTGAATTAGTCAGTCCTATGCATGTTGTGAATGCTTGGATATTTGAAATCTGGCAGTTCAGATAGGGAGTAACATTTTCACTTCTCATTCATAAATCTCAGAATCACAGATACTACTTCAGACCACTTGACAGGAACTCTTCATTTAGAAGCAAAAGACCGATGCTAGGGAATTTCAGTCTTATGAGATTTGCCAACCAACAATGAATTTTCACTGTGCCTGTTAGTCTAATTTTTGGATGAGCACCTAGCAGCAGTGTTGCCTGAAATAAAGCATTTCAGTCAATTAAGTGCCACACTTGCCATTCCTCTTCCTACTCCCTTGTTCACTACATTCCACCCAGACCATTTATAAAAGACTCATCTTGCTGTCTTCTGTTTTTCAAAATGGGATTTTTAATTAAATGGAAGACAGATACCAACTGGAATCTATAACTCTGACAAAGCTGTAGAAGCTTTTCAAGGATTTAGAAATAGGTAGTTAGCAATACATTATGTTTTTCATTGTTTAGACTAGATTTCCCATCTAGGCAAAGCTCCTAATTTTCTAGTTTTAAAATTCTATAAAACACATGTGGGAATTCTTGTTTAAAAGCTACATTCAGGTGAAGGCAACAAAAGAATATTTATCTTTTTAGAAAATAAAACCCACTTTATTTTAAAATAATGTCATCTTTCAATAACTTTGGTGTTGCTTTTGTGGCTATAATAGAACAAATGGAATATTTCAATAGTATGAATATTTATACAAAATGTAGAGAAACAAGTGATTTGAATAATTTAATCAATAAGTTGACAAAAATTTGTACAGATTTTGAGTAAGGTAACATGAAAAATAAGATAACCTCAAAATACAAGTGGTTTCCATTATTTCTAATCCAAATCTGAGAGTCCCATAGTGAGTGAAGTCCATACTGTTAGATCCCAATACTGTTAGATCACAGGTACTTTGTGGGGCAGGCAGGAAAGGAGCACAGGAAGCAGAGAATGCAGGATTAAAGACCACTACACATCTACTGAAGAGAAGCTATAGCTGAGGTTTCTTTTTCTCATCTCTCCTTACTCTTATTCCCAGTACTCTTCTATATCTTAGTTCTTTTTCCTTATTTTTACCACTGCTATCTTTGACTTTGGTGAGTTCCAGTTGCTCACTAGGCAAACAGCTGCCTAGAAAGTCTGTGTTTCATGAGTGTCAATGCTCAGCGAATGCTAAAGGAAGAAAAACTGAATTATTAATTTTTATTTCAATATATGTTCATTGGGTACCCTATAGGTATAAGAAATGCTGGATTATGATCTAGGCTCCATCATTTGGATTTTTCTATCTCCCCTAGTCTTTGACATATGTTTTCTACTTCCTTTTCTGTTCATTGCTTTTACTGCTCTCCCTAGAGAAAACACAATTCCCAAATAATAATATAACTTAGTTAAAACACTTAGCACATTCAGTAGCAATGCTGGAATGTTTATAGTAGCTACCAGCTGTTTGATTATCTTAAGTCACAAAATAAGGTGAAAGAATGGAGTGACACTAACCTCCATTATTTTATCCTTTTATTTTTTAAGTTCTGGAGGTAAAGTCCATAATTCAGGTAATAAAACCTTTGGGTATTGTTTTATAAAGGCAACAGTATTCTGTGGAAAGTGAAACCAGGAAGGAAATCAGGAGATGATGGATCCTACTGTTCAAAACACTGGATAAACTCTGGAAAAATAACTGCCACAATGCTTTTGTAGCAGTTTACCATGGTTTGCAATTTTTGTTCAAATGGAAATAACATTTGATATTAGTATCTGATAGATATGGGTTAAACATTAATTAGATTAGATATATAATATGTAACATATATAATATATGACACATATATATGTATATATATATTTTATATACATAAAGACTTTGTTCTCTAGGAGGGGAGAAATGCTATATGATAATCCAGTATTTATTATCTGTTCATCAGGTAACGCTATTTAGTGACTCTATCATATAAAGAATAGAAAGTCTTTATTAACAAATTTGGTAGTTCACTTGTTCTAGGCTGAAGTGCTTTTGGTACCAGCATCTGTGGAACCTAATCAATAATGGTCCCTTTCTACAGTGTCTGAATAGGTTTTCTGAACTTTCCTCTTACAGTAATGGATTTGCCCTTCTCTAAAGGCCCTGGGTGGCCAAGGGAAAGCATTCTTAAGCATCCTCCTCAAATGCTACAAGGATTGAGGAACAGAAGAGAATCAGAAGTGGATGTTTTCCATAACAGAGAAGTACCTGAAGCCGCAGTCAGACAAGAAAAAGGCACATGTCTTCTTAGACTCCTTTAAAAGACACTGTTGCTCATTTAGCCACTGATACAAGATGGTAGATCCATCATGGGCCCCAGGGGACAGATATGAGAAAGCCATTAAACCTCCAATTTTATGGTAGCCAGGCTAAAAAAATGTTTTTCCTCTTTCTGCTGAATGAATCTATTCAGAAATATTGCAGATTCTACATACAAGCTATGCAGACTCTTCTTATAAGGTACTACCTTTAGCAGCTTGTTTCCAATTATTTATAAAGTCCTGTTAAGCAATTCACAACTTTGTAAAGTTCCATTAAAATCTCTGGGTCCATTTGTAATTCTGAGAGGATCTCCATGAAAATATTAAAAATCAAAATTGTTTGCTACTAAGCACAGTTCCATATTCATTTAGTAATGTCACACTTAGAAAACCTCACTCCTTTGCCCCTCAACTCTCCTTTCCTAGAGTAAGAGAATTTAAAAATGTGTATTATACACAAGCTTAAGAATTCTTTCATCAAAAAAGTCTATAATACAAACCAAACATAAAAGGAATAGTATTTTAGATCCATTTCCTGATTTTTGTCTAAACATATGTGAGCAAGTAACCTCTACTTATTTTCATGCATATATACTTATATATAAGTTTACACACACATATATACTCTGATGTATATATTTTATATTTTGCAACATGGAATGGCAACATATCAAATGCTTAGATTCCGTGCTTACACATGATCTTTCCTGTGAAGGAAACATATCAATATTACAAAAATAAATCATGGAGAGTAACATGCAACAACTGAGGGAAGGAAAATAGGGTTGGGGCAGGGGAGTAAATAGGAAGCACGAAGAATGTAAAGAACAAAAAGTGTCATTGACCTGATTTGTCAGAGCTGTTGCCTGTGATTGGAGTGATGGAGCAGCTGGGATTAGCCTTTGCGCTGTCCTTGGAAGAAACCATTTTTGGTTTATTTTTCGTTGCCTCTAGTGCTTTGACCTTCTTGGCATGTTTACTTCCTTTGTAGTGGGCCTCGGCCTGGCTCTACAAAGGAGAACAAATCAGGCTCATTTTTTGCTACTTACAAACACTATGATGGATGATCATGCAGGAAAAAATACATTCAATCATAGGCACCACAGACATTTACAACTCAGCACTTGACTATGTTTCTGGCACTTAATGAAATGGTAGACCAGAATCTAAAAGGGTTTAGCATATCGAGTCCTTCTATACATCCCAGAGGACCTGTGTCTTCAAAATACTTGACATTACAGGAGTGGACCACAGGATTTGGGAAGAACTGTGATGAAGGCGAGCTTTGTCATCACTGCCTTCCCACCACTGCCCTTGAGGTTACTTTTGAAACCTCTGGCTGCCAGCAGTTGCCTGAGTGTCCTACCCACACATATGGACATGATCTTCCACAACCACTGCCCTTCAGTTAAAGACCTGTCTGCCGTATCTAGTTTCTCTGGGCTTTGCTTTGAAATCAACTGGTGTGACAAAACAACATGTATATAGATACTACTGAGTGGATAAAACACTATATTTCAGAGATATCTACATGAGCTTCATGTGTCATTTTGATGGTTCCAGTTCCAAGAACAGATAATAGGCACCACAAAAGAGGTTGGGAAAATCCTTATTTCTGATCTCACATGTGATCCTCAAGTCAAAGCAATTAAATTTATTTATACACAAAGCATATGTAGAACTCTAACTTCAATACTAGATCAAAAGGAAGAAAACAGAGCAAGACCAAAGACAAAAACAAATTATAACAAACATAGAAAACATTTAGTCATTTAATGACATTTGGAAAATTTCTCTCTGCCTAAATAAGGTTTTTATCTTTTTGACATCTAGCATTAATGTATGCATTAACAAAAAGAATCTATGTAAATTCACTTGGATCTCATCCTAAATAAAAAATATAAACATACATTTGGTAAAAACAGAATAAGATAAATCATCTATAGCATATTGGCTTAGTTACAAGGTGAAATGGGTGACAAATCTTATAAAAAACAAGATGAGTTTTTGTTAGAGGGTTTCTAAATGAATAAAAATGTTTTTTCGTCACTTTTCTTTACAACCTGTCTGTGTTTGAAGATGATAGGGCCAATGAGGCTTCAGCCATACATTAAGTGAGATAAACAGTAAAACATATTGAAGGATACAGAACAAAAATAAAAGGGACCAGAAAGGAGTGGCATTAATGAGGACTTCTAAAACTGGAAACTTTTGATTTGCAATCTGAAGAAAGGGACACATATGAGATATGAATTGGTAGTGGAAAGTACATTTCTGGTGGGAGAATTTTGGCTAAGGAAGGATTGATGCTGGAGTGGCAGAAGAGTGAGCAAGGCTGGAGAGGGGCTTATTAAACAGGTTCTTGTTGGAACATATTCAACAAGAGCCAAGAAAACTAGATATGCTGCCACAATGGAGTAGGATATCACTGAGATGAAACTGTGAAGCAAATTCATGATGGTACAAATTTCAAATGGAAAGATTTCTATAACAGCTACTTATAAATGTTGTTGCTTGAATATGAGAAAAAAGAAGGCAGACAACAAGGCAAAATCATGAGTGGAGAATATGAATATAATAAAACTGATCTAGTAATAATATCATGGATTTCTCTTTTTTTATTGGCAGTACTGGGGTTTGAACTCAGGGCCTCACACTTGCTAGGCAGGTGTCCTACAACTTGAGCCATTCTGCCAGTCCTGTTTTATGTTGGGTATTTTTAAGTTAGAGTCTTGTGAACTATTTGCCTGGGCTGGTTTGAAATGCAGTCCTCTTGATCTCTGCCTCCTTAGTAGATGACATGAGCCACAAGTATCTAGTTTATCAGGGATTTCTTGAAACTTTAGTTATTATCAGTCTTGCTGCCCCTTGTTTAACTGGAACCATTTCACTGATATTTACTAGATACCAAGCACTTTTCCAACAAGCCACAATTAGACTGAGCCATCCTAGGCTGGTTTTTGTGTTGTTGGAATGTTTTTCTGAGTTCCTGGTTTGTTTCATTCTATCTCACCAGGGAGACATTGCTTTGCTATCTTCAGACATCCAGCCATATTTGATTCAGCAGAATTGGTGATGGTGAGTACCACTTCAAACCTGACATCATGTGATTTCCAGTGTGGGTAGGGAATAAATCCAGTTTATCCAGAACTCATAAATGATGGTAATGAAGTAGTTTATGCTAAATGTTATGACTGATGCAACCACAAGTGTCAAGGGTCATGTAGTAAGTTAAACATGTATTTACTGTCCCATCAGATAGGAACTTGAAGATAAATTCATGTCATAGTCTGATATTCGGTAGTCTTTTACTGTTGTATTATTTCATAGGGCATGGAGAATTGTTATGAAAACAATGTATTGCTTTTGTAGTAGTGAAATCTGGGATAGTTTTATTTTTGTTTTATAGGTAAAGAGACAGTCATTTCCTTAGTTTATAACCTCTGTCACCCAAGGTCTGTAGTCTTGTGCCGACTGTTCATAGTCCCTAACTTCCTGAGTACCTTTCCACAGATATCTTCAGATCTTCATTGACTTATTGGTGCTCTTACTTAGTTTGCTCAAGGACTTCTCATGTTGTTCTCTGTCACGATGGGAAAAAAAGTCCCAGTGGAAGAGAAAAGTAACATTATAAATCATTCATTTATAAGTCAAGAATGGTTAAATCTGGCTAGTACAGTTGGGGAGTTATAAATTAAGAGAGCAAGCAAATAAAAAATTTAAAATGATAATAGAAAGCAATAATAATGATGACTACTATTATTAAGCACTGTTCCAGGCACTAAACTCATACATGAGTTATCTCATCAAATTCTGTTAATATCCCATGAGATGGGTACCATTATTGGCCAGCATTTTACAAATGAGAAATTGGACTTACAGAAGGTAAATAACTTAGCAAAAGTCAGTGAAAATGGTATGAAAGCCATTTAGTAGATCTAAAAATGCTTAGATGTATATGTCTAATTTTATATCCACCCATACATACATATAACCTCATTATGTTAGCATTATCATTTTATTAGAAGTGAAAAATTGCATATGAAGAAAAAGACCCTGCTTTTAACAACTCTGTAAGGGATTATTCCTTAATGCCACAGAAAATTCTGTGAGTAAGATACATCCACCTATTTTTGGGAAAAATACTAGTGTAATACATTAGATTTGATCCTTCTGGTGAGTAGCTACGAAAATTCCACTTCTTAGGATATAACAATTTTTACACAATACCAGCAGATCTGTCTCTCAGCCTCTCTCTCTATTTTTTGGTGGGGCTGGGGTTTGAACTCAGGGCTTGCATAGCAGGCACTCTACTACTTGAGCCCTACCACCAGTCCATTTTGCTCTGGTTATTTTGGAGATGGGGTCTCATGGACTATTTGCCTGTGCTGGCCTTGAACTACAGTCTTCCTGACTCAGTCTCCCAAATAGTTAGGATTACAGATATGAGCCAACAGCACCCAGCTCCAGAACATCTCTTAAAAACTCATCTTTTCAAGTACACTACCAATGCAGGGTTATTTAGTGTCCTTTGGCTAAAGAAACACTTGTTTCTCTAAATAAAACTTTCTAGTATACGATAAGCAGAGTGTGACTTCCTCATGACTACTTCCTGGCATCACTGCAGAAAGTTAACAGCATCAAATAGCACTTGAGATCAAGATCCAGCTAAGTGATACCTCATTGGGTGCCAAGGTGGAAAAAACTCTCCATAGCCATGACCCACTGTCCCTTTGAGTTCTGGGCATGGAGAGAAGGGCAACAAGGGTCCTTAGATTCCACTGACTGTTGCTGGGAAAAGTGGGGTGGAAAATAGAGTGGCAGGCACCATTCATTCATATTTGGCATCTTTCTGGTTCCCCTGTGGTATTCTTGGTAGTGGAACTTTGCTATCCTCAGTACTCTGAGGCAGTGTCAACAGCTTCTGCCTTCTGGGCAAATCTTCAAATGAAACTGAGACACTGTTAAGTAGCAAACAAGATTGACCTGACTTCATTATTTAGGAAGCTCCTTAATTGAGGAGTGAGAGAAGCAAGGATAAAAGCCAGAAATCCCAGGGATCAGGTGACACAATTTAAGCCCAGTTATCAATGGCTCTTGTATCTCCTCTAAGAGACTTGGTTGGTCAATCTGACTTACTTTCCTTCCCAATGAGTAATCAGCAGACCAATGGTTGTCTAGCACTAATGGCTCGCGTTCTGTTTCCCCTCCAGAAGTGTTGCTGTACCCTGCACCTGGCAGTGACCAGAGAAATCTTTCAGTAAGAATCACGGGAATTAAAGTTGGAGATGTTGTTAAGTGGCAGAGTGCATGCTTTGCAAGGCCCTGGGTTTGATCCCCAGCACTTCAAAATGGGAAGAGAAAGGAAGTTCATATAAAGAATTGTCAGAATCCATCCTGACCTCCTCAGAAGACTTCATCGGTCTGCAAGTCTTCTCTTTGGGCCATTCCAGGTGACCTGACCACCCAATGCCCAGTAGTAGAACAGCTTACACAGGAAATGACATTTGGGATTTTTTTCTTTTATTAATCACCTTTGGTACTAAAGCCCTTCACTTTCCCATATCCTGTACAATTTTTAGAACTCCATTGCTCCAAATAAAAACATTTTAAAAAGAGAGAGATAGGCATTACTTTAAAAATAAAAAATATAACAAAGTATTCCCATTGAGAAGTTCTACAACTCACTATGTTCTCATTTCTGGTTTTGACCTTATTTCTAATTTATACATCAGAGAGATGGCTACCATCTTGAATCATGACTTTAAAATATGTTCAGTATGCATAGAAAAAACAGTCCAAATACAAACTCATAAAGTGACTGGGCAAAAGGCAATGTCCCTGGAGAAAGTACCCTATTTCAGAACAGAACCAATCTTTTTGCATTTTAAGAAGTAATTAAATCAGTTCCCTTAATTAAAGGAAGCATATCATCAAAACTACTCACATCTGTCTTTTTCTGAGACCTCAGATATCAATGTGTTAAGCAGTGTTATGAAGGGTACAGC